GTTTTCCATCTCCTGTGTACCCAGCATTACACGAGCATGTGTATGAACCCACGGTATTCTGGCATACAGAATTGACGTCACAGGAATCCGAACCAGTGGTACATTCATCCAAGTCTATAAAAGAAAGCACGTAGAGACTTCTTGTAGAAACGAAATGACCTTTCTAGTTAATGAGGCTTGTTTTTAATAAGTACAGTTTTATATACTGTAGGGTATTTGGGTAATTAACGTGCACTAGCAAGGGAAAATATTATGTCAGAAGGAAGGAACATGCGAAAAAGGGTCGTTAGCTATACCCTGTACTCACTTTTGTTAAACATTTGCAAAGAAGTGTCTTGAAAAGTAAATAGAGGTCAGCACGACTCTTCCCGTCGTTACAGTGGAAAATAGGAACCTTACGATCCGACAACGGCAACGTCCATGAAAACCTCGCTGAAAAATAGCCTCCGCATCTTTTCAAACCATTTTGCGATTATCCCAAGTCTTCCAGTCACTTAAAAGAAGGGAATTTATGTTGGAGCTGGAGAGGGGGCCGCATCCGATTTCAGACAGAGATGGTAGAATTTATCGCCTTGCCGTTGCCGTCCTCAAAAAACCTTGACGTCATTTCACGTCTTAGTCGTGCAGGGACGGCAAAGAAATGTTACAGTACAAAAAAGCGTTATGCACGTGCAGAGTTGTTGTTTTGCTAACTAAACCTATTGCCGGCTTTTTGACGTTGCCGTCGCCGTAGCCGTCGCCGTAGCCGTCGCCGTAGCCGTCGCCGTAGTTTCGTAAGGTCTCTAATATCCGCCGAACGCCAACAGAACGTTTTCCTAGACAAAATAGTGGAATGTAAATTCCACTTCCAATATTTCTTTAAATCAATTTGTGATTCCGATTTCAGGCCTTTGCGGCCATTTTTGGTATAAATGGACATTTTTTGTGAAAAATGTAGGTGGGAATCCCCAGTGTTTCCAATACCGAAAGCACTCTAACTTCAGTTAGTCTGATTGGTGTTGCTACTTTTCCATGCAATCTGTTTCCATCGTTTTTTGCGTAAAATCAAATGCTGTATGTGCTCTGTGCTTGTTAAATGCATCTTTAAAAATGTCTAGAAGTCTTTCTGGTTCATGCGGATTAACATAGATATAAATCTTTCTATGCCTTGTACCTTTAAAACAAGTATAATTATAGCAGTTATGACAAGGCACATCATTCCAAGTGTAACCATGCTTGGCTCCAAGAGTGTGAACACAGTCTTCGTTTTTCCAGTCGTTCGGTTGCTGTGGGGCCCAGAACCTAAATTTGCTAATTTCTTTGTTTGTCCACACAAAGGAGCCCTCCACACTTCGGTCATTGAGTCCAATCCAAGATCTCTCTCCGTTGTGGCGGTGTTGAATGTAGACATTTTCTTCTTGATTGTGAACCGTTACCAAATTGGAACTCACCATAGAACAGTTTGACTCAGCGGTCAGCCACGAGGCGCATGCACGACTTGTGAAGTAACAGTAGCCACCAAAATAACTCCATCTTGGCTGGCAAATATCTGTGGTAAAGATATAAAACGACTGTGCAGTTTAGAAATCCCCAAACATTTGGTCCCTTAAAGAGTGCCTTTTCCACAGGCTTCCCAAGGCTTAGTACGGAGAACGGAACAATCGAGAAGCGCGAGAGGTGGAGGCAAGCAACGCGAGCGACTGCGGACGAGGCAGCTTCACAAACATCATCCCAACTGCTTGTGCGGCCGATACGCTCAGTAGGAGGGAAGAGGAAAATAAAACTGACGACGCCAAACTTAGATAATCAGTGGCAAAAACATTGAATGACTTCCAGGGAGCTAATATTAAAAATGATCGCCTTCCTCTATTAATGAAATGACTCTCGTATAAGTTATCTCTTTATGCATTCATAATGAATTAGTTGTGAGTAATCAGTAAAACCTATGTGTTACTAAAACGAGAATTCCATAAACCCGTTCTTACCTGACAAGACAGTATATGATACTGAGAGAGGGTCGTAC